AATGTTGGTAATCAAAACAAGTTTGTGCGTTTTTTTATTTTATCCTTCATATCATATCTTATTATTATAAACATTTGAAAATTTTATCAGGAATTGATGACTAAAAATTATGGAGTACCTATAGTGTCATAGGTATGCCTATTAACTATAGTAATCTAGGATTTTTTCCGTGATCATAGTTTATTTTATTTTGTCATCGATCATCGTCCATCGACAATGATTTAGTATCTACACATCCAATCAACGAATATTTATTTAAATGTATAAATTTAAATTAATATAAGTACCTTTACACATAATCATTATAAACTTTAATTATCGTTTAGTCTTAGTATTTTTACTTTTTATGCACACTGAGCATATTTGTTGTATACACTGCTGCATGAGTGGAAGGGGGATTAGCATGGACTAACACTGTTTTTTCAACATATTGATATGCACACCTGCTTGAGTGTCAATGACTAACAAATAAACTTTAATAACGCGTAAGCGACAGTGGCGGTAGACTATACGTATACACATAATATATTAATACCTAATATATATTATGTAATACACGCGTTGAGTAAAATATTATAATTGAAAAAGGATATGATTTTCTAGTACTTATAGTGCACCGCGTAAACAGCGAATTAGCATATTATTATATGGTTTTACATTATCGAACACGAAACATAATTATATTTTACGGGTACGGCTTACACCTATAAGTATTTACATGCATAAATATACATATTTAATTGGTCGCGATCGAGATCGTGATCATTGTAGGAATTATTCGCTATTACCGTGGCCATATTTCGTATTTTAATTACGATGCATTTTTTAAACGACGACATTTATCAATAAAAATGAACATTTGGCTTTGTCCTTGTATGCAGCGAAAGTCTAATTATTGGCAATAATATATACTGATTTTGTGTTTTCTTTGCGATTGCTGTAGCGTTTCGGTTCAAAGACATAAATCCACGTTTCTATATACCTAGTATAAGGAGAAAATATAATACATTACAACATCACTTATAAAAATATTTATAATCAATGATGATAGTAACCTAATCGAAGAATATTTTGTGCAGAATCTTTACCGAACTCGTAGGTCTGTATGGTATATATTAAATATTTAAATACGATAGTTGAAAAAAAATATTAGTAATAATAGTATAATGATTAATGACTATGTACTATACAGTACACAGTACACATACGTAAAGTTCTCAAAAGAAAAGCATATAGGTAGGTAAGCCCGCAAAAGTAAAAACACAAATACGCGTGTACATACATTAAAAACAGCTATATTATTATTAAACGATCTACATTGGTATCTTATAATATTCCAAACAACATCATCAACGAATATTAACATAATGATATATTATTATTGCCTATTTGAATAATGTCTCCAGAATATTATTACTTATTTATAACTATATAGGTACTCATATAGCGTTTATAGATATTATAMTTTTTAGCAATAAAATAAATGGTAAAAGTCAAGATTTCATAACATTGAATAAAAGGATATACGATATTATATTATACAGGTATATATTAAGTACTCGAATTGGTGGATCCAGTAGCGTACGCAGTGATAGGGTTATAGGGTTTTTACCTACCCCCCTTCCCRCTTGAAATTTCTATCTACCACCATTTCAATATACAGAGTCGATAAATTKTTGGTAATTTTTAATAGATATAAATTAAATTATCAATTTATTATTAATTATAATTTGTTACAACTAATTACACAAAAACTGATAAGCAAATTATTTAAATTATTTACTCATGTAAAACCCTAACCGAACTAAAATCTTGCGTACGTTACTGGGTGGAGCTTCTCCACTAGTTGTTTTATATTTTGAATCACCTGTAATAATTAAATTTTTTATCAAAACGAGGGTAAGGTAAAAAATGTTGTGTTTTACAAAATATTTATTTGACATACATTTCTTAGTAATTTGTATTTCATAACATTTTAATGAATAAGATATTCAAGTCAATGAATTATTAAATTCATTATTATTATTATTATTATGCAGATGCTATATTAAAGTTATCGAATTGGATTAAAAAATATATATTAATATTATTACACATTTACCTAATAGTTAGTTTTATTTATAATATAAATGATTTGTCATTGTTCAAAAATATTTATTTTGGTCACTCTTGTACCTACATAAGTAATTGTTACTAGTATATGATAAATCATATTTAAATATTTGTTATTTGATTGATAATTTGGGCGAACTCCTTTTCAAAACTTCCCTATTTTATTTTTCCAATTCGGGCACTACATATATTATTATWATTATTATTATTACAAACGAATGTTCGTAATCCTTATATGGCTATATATAAAATAGTATCTATTTGGCATACATATTTTTATGATGATATCGTCAAGTAAACGTAAATATTATGCAGCGAGAAAGAGAGAGCCACACGTCATGCATAAATTTATATAAAATATGAGAAAAAAAAAATAATTCTTAAAAATATCCACTGGTGACGTGTAATAATAATAATAAACTAATAACTATATAGAGTATAGATGTGTATATAATTTATTATGTGCGATATTGTTTGGTGACGTTTAGCCCTTCTGAGCCTCAGGTGCGCGCTCGGAAATCGTGGCCGGTTGTCCCTTCAACCAAAATAGTTTCTCGTAAGTCTCGTCGTCCACCATTGGCTCCGAGGCTTCGTCGTTTTCCTCCAACTGTTGACGGGCGTACTTACAGTGCGTGCCGTCCCCTCGCTTGGTTACTCGGCTCCGGACCATGGCCGGCGTCGCGTACTTCTTATCCCATACCCAGCCCAACTCCTCGAAAAAGTCGATAAATATTGTAGTCAGGTTGAAATACTGCCCGAACTCGGCTGCCCGATAGTCCCACGGGAATGTGTGGTGATAGTTGTGCCAGCCTTCGCCCAGCGCGAAGATGGACACGTAAGGGTTCTCCACTGGAAACATGTCTCTGCATCAAGGTAAACGTTTATAAAATAATAAATGTATTTATTTATTTAATTTATAATCCAACTGATATCCCATAAAGATATAAGATACCTGCCAATACAGAGCGTGATATTGTATATAGGTATATAGAAATGTAATGCATTTTTACACAGTTTTTTTTTTTTATGTGTTTAAAAGGACCAACGCGTGTGGTCTCGGCGTTACAAAGAGATTCGCCTATAATAAAAATTCATTAAGGCCAAGAACATTATCTGTGTTTGTATATACATTGTGACTTGTAACAATAATATRTGTCTTATGGCTGGTGGTCAAAAAAAAAATTTATGTTACGAAAAAAATACGTTTTTTGGTGCAGTTCCCGTAATGTTAGAAACTTGAAATTTGAACCATGGCTTCTTTATAATGGTCACATGCAAAGTATGAATTAAGAAATTGAAATTCATCACCTTATCTCTTTTAATAATATGTGGTTTCTCTAGATTGCTTATAGTTTCAAAATAAAAATAAATATGCATTAGTTAAAATGAATACAATTGTTTGTAGCTAAARAGTTTGGCTTACCTAATACATAATTATTATGATCTTATGTTTTCCCCAAAAGRGAGTATAGAAAAATGTTTGTTTAAATATTCGGACACCGCGATCGGAGATAAATGCCAACACAATACGTGTATATGTATATATTACAATATTACAATTTTATTCATGTTATAAAATATTTCAGTAAAGTATTACAATTTAAAAATGAAAAAATGTTTCACATATTGCAGAAACATTGAAAAATTCAATGTACAAACACAAAATATTCTTTACTTTAAGTTTGATCAGGATACTTTTAGACATTCGACACATAAGGTCATAAGGACAACAAAAAGTCAATGTGATTCGTGAAACAATGAACTTAAATAGTTACGTAAATGTTAAGAAAACTATTTTTGGATTGCAACAAAATATTTTTTTATTATATTATCATTGTAAAGTTTATGATCAAACTATCAAAGTTAAATCATTCTCGATATTTAATTTTTTTTTTTTTAAGCGCTAAAAACTTTGTGCTGATCACTAATGATAATTATAATTGATAACATTATTATTTATGTTAAGAAACTAGATAAACGAAATATAATTTATAGAAAATCATTGAATACAGTTATAATGAGAAAAAAACAATGAAAATATAAAAATTACCACCTGGGGCAACATTTTCCTATTTTTGCCGACCCCTACGTTGGCGAATACGTTATTCAGTTCGATTACTTAATCGAATATAATTAAAGCTAACAACACGATATTGGCTCTTTTGATCGAAAATTTGTAAAATTTCGTAGATCAGAGTGAAAAAACAAAATGAGTACTGACAAGCATCATTTTAAATAAATTTGATTTAATGCATATAGATGTACGTTTGGAAACCAAATAGCATACATGATATTAATATTTTTGCTTGAGCTTTTTGGCTCACAATATAGAAGGATTACTACGTGTACAGCACTACAGCACTTCAAAATATTTAGTGGCGAAATAATATGCAAATGGCACCTATGTTTTTAAAGAAACAGCTGAAGCTTATAATATATGGAATGATGTACTCACTTTGTAAATGGTTTGTTTCCGTACAGATGCGCAGCACTGTTGACCAACCATGTCAAGTTCAGGACTGCCATCAACCGAAACAGGAAGCACACGAAGAAGCCGTTCCACAGGGATTCCCCCCAGAAAACGAACGGCACGACCATCGGCATAAGCATAGCCAAGATCGTAAACAGTATTTTGTAATACCTGAGAGCGGTAACGATATTATGATCACATCCGGTATAGGTACTAAATTGTATAGTTGCAAACTTTCGATTTAAAAACACCGCGTATTTGAGTGAATTTTTTTTCAAAATTTCTTATATTGTAACCCTACGACTATTCGCTGCAAAAATTATTATTTCAACTTGACATGGACTGGATTGAAAATGTATATATGCTCAAAGACCGTGGTAAAAATCACGTAAATTTCGATTTTTGGTTAGGTTAGGCAGTGGATATGAATATGTGTGTAGAAAAATCGACTGCATATATTATTATTATTTTATTRGTGCCTTTTTAATCGAACAACGTACCGGTACGATACGAAAGTATGCCACAAGCGACAGCTAGTATARGTAGTAGCAGCGGAATATGACTTACTTTTTTTGAAACATAACGTAAGGATCTTTTTCGATGTCGGACATGTCGATCTTTTTGCCTTTTTCAATAACTTCCGGATGTTTACGCACCATCAACCATCCGATGTGCGAGAAGAAGAAACCCCGCGACGCGTTGTGTGGGTCAGCCACCGTGTCACTGTACTTATGATGCTGCCGGTGATCTCTGATCCAAACATACAAACAGTTCTGACAAAAACAGAACGCGTTTATGAAAATTATAACAAGYAAGTACGACATTTTACCGTAAAAATAATAGAAACCCGTAAAAATATTGAATTCAAATAAATATATCATATTATATATAGGCTCACCTGCCCYGCGACTGTCTGCCCAAATACTAGTAAGGCTTTTATAAATTCGTTACATTTGAAGGTCCTGTGCGTGTATAATCTGTGAGCACCCATGGTGATGGATATCGCTGATGCACCCGCTACCACCAATGCTAAGTATACCAAAACATTATAATGAAATCCTCAACACTTAATATATACTGAGTGAATCATTTAACGAAAAAAAACTTTTTATTTCGAACATTTACATTTTTTCCGTAATTTTTCATTAAAATATAAAAATATAATCTAACCAACTTAAAATTATTTTAAATTTAAAAAAATATTTTTTTAATATCCATACACTTTTATGGTGATAATTTTTTTAATGACAACTTACATTTTTAATTCTTATTATTATTACTGGATATTTTTAAGAATATAGATATTATATTTTGAAGGCAAATTTGTTTAATTATAATATTTAACATAACCTGCAACGTTTAGATGAGCAAAATAGTGGAACAACTATTCGTTGTTTTCCGTTCATAAACATTTGAAAATTTAATTAAATTCTACACAACCACCCAAAAATCATATGTACAATGGCTGAAGTAACTCTCAAAGTCAACGCCCGTTCAAAGAACTAAATAATGCAAAATCATTACAAAAGTTGTGATTTTTAATGTTTCTKTACTGCTTATAAATTGTCTCGTTTCAAGAATAATCGCTTAAACATTTATYAAATAAAAATATACCTATAGATTTTAAAAATTGAGCTGTATCTTGTATAAAAATATAGACACATTAAACATGTAAAGTAAATTTAATTATTGTTGTCTAGAGGTAAAATGAATAACTATAGGTACATTTTAATACAACACCCACGGACACAATATACGAAGTTAACCATGAATTAGTTTTATTTATTTCAACTAATAATCATTTTCTTTGTAATGGAAATTTTTTCTAAAACTACAAAATCACAAAAATAAATGTAGGTAGGTATGTAATTAAAAAATAATATCTATTTTCTAGAACAGARTGTGGCCAATTTTAAGTATGCAATATAGGTACTGTATATAAATCACCTCGTTATCGGCCGAACTTAGAGCGTTGTGCTGATGTTATATTATATGCTCTAAAGCAGTGTTTCCCAAAGAGTGTACTGCAGTGAAATTTGAAAGGTAGGTGAGCCACGACAACTTGAACTTTTTATATTAAAAAAACATTATAAAATAGATAATATATTATATTCAAAGTGTACCGTGACCATATAAGGTGACTTATAATGTCTAATAATAATGTGTCACTACGGGAAAAAAGTCTGGGAATCACTGCTCTAAAGGTAATGCTAGTAGGTATAGCTTATTGTTAGGGTTTGGATTTGAAGGCAAAAACCTTTCTTTTAACAATTGTAATCAATAAATAATTTTTATACAAAAATTTGTTTTATTTAATTTCTAAGACGATGGAATTTCAACGAATTCGAAGAATCTGAATATATGAGAGTAACTAAAATACTTTTTTAAACTCTATCGATGCAAAACAAAGTAATCTGGYGTATATTGTATCTAACTTTGGATTTTTACCTGATAAAATTACAAAACTAGAAACACGAGATAAATGATAAAAAATATTATTTTTTTTGTATTTTACATGTTTAAATTATTAAAATATATCGGCTTATGTTTATGGTGACGTGGCTAAATTGATTTTGGATAAATTCAACAAAATTATATGGAAGAACGGAAGATCGGAAAATATCAAAAAAATCAACCAAGTATTGATTGGAGAAATAACAAGCGATGAATAGTAATCTTAATTTAGATAATTATTTATGTATGRAATACACCCTGATAACTTCGGTGGACGTAGAAAGATACTTTTCGATGTATAAAAATATGTTGAGCTCAAATTGTCAACGTCTTACTGAAGACAGCTTATCAAAATACATGGTAGTTTTTTTTTAATACCAATTAGTTAGTAAATTGTTGAATTGCTTTTTTCTATTAATTAAATGCCCTTTKTTTTACATTTTAAATGCTTTTTGTATTGATTATATTGCCTTCAAATCCGAACCATACTTAATATTATCCTTACTCCACAGTATAGTGAGTATCATCGATGATRTCAAGAACAAGTACATGCCGTACACGGCGCCCAAATGGAGCACGAGGAATCCGATGGCGTTGAACCAGACAATCTGCCGGCGGTGCACGTACTCCGGCGGACTACCGTTTTCTTTTCCATCATTTTTGGCCGTCGCTAAATCTTTGTCCAAAATCTCCATGCTCTTCAACGCCCAGTTATCGCCGAGCTGCCAGTCAAAAAACACTTTCTTGCCGAACAGAAGCTCCTGCACGGTGGCCAGCAACGTGTAAATCAGTCTCTGAAAACAGTCTCGATCGTTATTATAATCTCGAATAAATCACGTATATACCATGATAACACGCATGTGGACGTGTTAATTATTTGTGTGTATGCGAGTGTGACAAACGCTTTTGATCACGACAGTATAATTATAAATCGTTCCGCCCTCACTACATGTTCTTATATAACACCGATCCCATTGTTTACCCCGGTTTGCATGTTATGTTAATTACCCAGCACTTGTAATGGCCAGGCAAAAACATTGTTTTTCTATAGCGTACATGCTTCATTGTCGTTTCGATAGACAGTTATTTTTATTAGCATGCATTTGTTTGTAATAATATTAATATTTACACGATACACGCATATAACACACATGACACGTATCTATACATGCAGGCGTAACTCGATTTTGCAGAAAGTAGAAAATGTTAAAAGATATTATATATATATATATRTGTGTGTGTGTGTGTGTGTCGTAGCCACTTCGTGAAATTGATCTTTTCATGAAAAGATGACCATTTCGTGAAATGAAAACACGTTTTTTTATACTTTGTGTGCCGAAATACAAAATTAAAAAATGTATTCTACCTTATAGATTTAACTTAAATAATTATGCATAGTAATAAAGTTTATTTATATCATATTAATTTATTAACCGTATTGTGAACATTTTTTATTTATTAGAGCAGGAAAATGTATTGTGATAACGACTGTTACATTTTAGACTACCTTTAAAACAAACACATCTTTTGGTTTGACAAGCACTTTTACACGAACAACTTACAAATCCTTGACCTCCAGATACAATTTGGACAGTTTCACGCAAGGTTAAATCTTTATAATCATCATTATGATTATGACTTTTATCAAAACCAATACATATCATCTACACATTTCAGATAGTCTGGTAATTGCAGTTTAATATTCGTATAGAATAATTTAGATATTATTTAAGTATTTATTGTACGTATTATTTGACATGGGCTCGAGGTTAATATGAATATAATCAAACTTAACGTTTCCGTTAAGTTGTTCGTGTAAAAGTGCTTGTCAAACCAAAAGATGTATTTGTTTTAAAGGTAGTCTAAAATGTAACAGTCGTAGTCACATTTCATTTTCCTGCTCTAATAAATAAAAAATGTTCACAATACGGCTAATAAATTAATATGATATAAATAAACTTTATTACTATATATAATTATTTAAGTTAAATTTATAAGGGTAGAATAAGTTGTTAAATGTTGTATTTCAGGATACAAAGTGAACGACCATTTTGTGAAAAAAATTACACGATGTTAAAATCGAGTGACCATTTCGTGACATATTTTTGAACTTCACAAAGTGTGAAAAACGTGTTTCCATTTCACGAAATGGTCATCTTTTCATGAAAAGATCGATTTCACGAAGTGGTTACGACATATATATTAGAGATATCTTCCAATTAAAGTCATAATTATGGAGAGGATAGTAAAAGTGATTCACCCTCCAACAAAATGCATTGGTTGGGGAAACGGGGTGTATGGCATATGCATGGATTTTTTAGTACAGGGGTCAGAAACCTTTTTGTAGGAAAGAGCCATTGTTTTTAAACCATGATGTCCAGAGAGCCGTATAGGTTGTTCGGTCCTGAAACCAAACAACGTTTTATTTTTTTATTTTTTTGTAGTCGTAGTTATAGTATTTTGCCATTTTTTTAAAATAAAATTTATATTTTACGGTCCTCGATATATTGATGCATTTTTCAAAGAGCCACTGATTACATGTTAAAGAGCCGCGGGTTACCGACCCCTGTTTTAGTATATTGAATAAATTTAGCCATCTACTCCAAAAAAATGTTATTCTTAGTCACGCACTTGCGCATATTATGCTCCTTATTAATGTATGGTGAATATTACAATAACAACGAGACTATAATATATAATAAATAATCTATTATACTGTACAAGATTTACGAGTAGGTACTCACTGACTACTATGAATATTGTATAAATCAAATCAGTAGTGGTGAACCTTTTTTAGATCACTTGCAAAAATATTACGAACAAATATTTTAATAAAGTTCACGTGTTTATAAGTACCCATCAACATTTTTTCTCAGGACGATGCAGAATTATAAAAATCTATGAGATTTTTCAATATAAATTATTTATTTTGCCGGTCTTAAATATTTAATAAAAACAACAGAATTAGCTTCTCTTAACAATGTATTATTCCACTGTTTTGATTTACAATAATTCACAATATAAAAAATTAACTTTCATATGTGTATGTTGATGCGGATATTGAGTTTATTAGGAATGAGCCGCTTTTTTCAAAGTACCAAATATTATTTCTAGAAGCAGTGGGTTCCAAACTGTTTGGGACTTTGGGAGGTAGAGGGACCGGTAATTAATTTCAATTAATACTTGTCTATAAATYGWGTTTTAATTATATATTAGTGTCGGCGCCTAATACCAAGAGGTATCAAGAAAATCAAAAGTTTTTTGAATTTAAACCTAAATAATTTATTGAAATGTAGTTAACGCCATTATTGCAAAAGACGAATTGGTATTAAAAGAATTCCGTTACCTCCAACTAAATAGGCAATAAATACTATGCTCCACCCCCCTACACAAAATTCTTAGTCCCGATTCATTTTCTTCTGTCTTTAATTTATTTATTTRAAAACGTGATATTATCAAATCTGAATCATAGATTAAAAACTATTGTAATTAATATTTTACTGAGATTTTAATATTTAGTGTTTGCTTTATAAGCCGAAAATTAGTTAGTTCATATTATT